ACATTTTTCACACTAGAATCCACAATGCCGGAAATTACTTTTCGACACCGAATTTTGAAACAGCTTAATATCAACAAGGCGTCTGGCCCTAATGAAGTGATCGTCATCGTACTTGAAAAGTGAGCAAATGAACTCGCACCAGTATTTTGCAGACTTTTCAACATGTCTTATGAGAAAGGGGTTTTTCCTTTTCGTTGAAAGATTGCTCGCGTTCAGCCTATTCCCAAAACGGGCAAGAAAAATCTTCCAAATAACAATAGACCAGTTACTTTGCTATCAGTGATATCAAAAATCATGGAAAAAGTCGTAAACCACCCACCATATACTAAAATATTTGTAAGCGATCATCAATGTGGCTTACAGAAATGAAGATCAACAGGCGACCTTCTATGTCACCCATATTTGGAATAACGCAATCGAGAAACATAGACAATTCAGAACTGTTGTGCTTGATATTACTAAGGCCTTTTTCCGTGTGTGGCATGAGGGTTTGCTGGCCAAACTTCTATGCTATGGTTTGTCGCATTATCCTTGTTTCATGCAAGTGGCCGTCGATTGATATCTCTCGAATACTTTCACCATCTCGACAGCACACTTGTCTCGTCATTCCATTTGGATTCCAGGATATCGGCTACGAAGGCACATCTTCACCGGCAGCAGGGGGTTGCATGTCTTAATGAAGATCTAGGAGTGATTTCGAGTTGGGGTGAAAGTAACCAGGTTCAATTCACTGCCACAAAAACCCAGGCATCGGTTTTATCCAAGAAGACGAATTTTTATGAACCGAATATAATTATGTCATGACAGACAATACTGCTTCCTGCTTCGATAAGTTTGTTGGTGGTTAAAATGGACACCAATATGTCTTAGCACAATCATGTCGCTGGAAATGCAACGGGTGCTTCTCAAAAGCTTGAAACACTGTTCAAAACCAGAGAACTGTACAGACCTCACTTTTGGTGGTTTATAAATCTCCGATCTGATCTTCTTTGGAGTATTGTTCTCATGTATGGAGCTTCACCCCTAAACATACCCTGAAGTTGTTGGATTCCATCCACAAAAGAGCCGTCTACCTGATTGGAGATGCGAACATCACGTGCAACCTCGATAGCCCGAAACATCAAAGAAAGATTGGAGATTTGTCTCTCTTCTATAGCTACTTTCAAGAGAAGTGTTCATCAAGTGACTTGGCACATTCAATTTCTCCAAGAGCGGTACATATCAGAAATACCCGACGGACTGTGGCGGCTCATTGTCTTGAGGTTCAACTCAGTACACCTCGAACTTCACTGTTCGAAAACTCTTCCATCTGGAGAACTGAGTTTATGTGGAATGAACTTATTGAGAACGTTTTTCCATATGGATTCAATCTTCACATTGGATTTGAATCGCTGCTTTCGCTCAGGCACCACTCTGAGAGTGCCTTAGAGATGTTCCTGTAGTGCTTTTGTTTTTTTAAAAAATGATGTATTGCGAAATTGGAAGTTTCAGAGGATGAAAATTATTTTATTTGTTGCAGTAACAAAGATGCCGTCGACACTGGTAACGAATTAATTTAAGCCATGGATATCGTGCATAGTATCAGAAAACAAACTGAAAATGTGATATTGTCATATATTATAAAACAAAAAGACTGATTGGTTCGCGAGCTGTATGAGAAGGTTGAAATTTTAACAAACCGATTGGAATCTCTCAATAAAAACAATCGAGCTTACGGCTCCTTCAAAGTAACTATTCACAACAGGAATTTTCGAAGAGCAGGCACCTAAGCTTTGACTAGGAGGCTCTTGCATGAGTGAGTTTTTTCGAAAAGAGAAGTCAGTGAACTGTCCACTAAAGTGATATATTCTCCTGGCATTTTCTCACTGAATGTTAGTTGCCTGAATAATGAAACATAACTCTATATTTCTTGAGACTTTCACAGATGAACTGTTATCCCTCCTAACGAACATACTTGAGAATAACAGTTCTTCGGGACCCGATGAAATTCCAATGTTGTTGATCAGAAAAACTTTGACATACTTAGTCAATCTTTCCTATAGTACATGAGTGTTTCCCGAAAAATTGAAAATCGGAAAAGTTGTACCTGTCCATAAAAATCGGATCCATATCTTTTAGGGAATATAGGCCCATCACTGTTCCATCTAGTTTCTCAAAAATATTTGAATATGCATACCTACATCGTTTACTACATTTCATTGAGAGGCATGGTTTTCCATCCTATATGTCCACTATTACTGCTGTGATCGATTTTTACTCACAAATCTTGGAGTACATCAAGGCTGGAATATTTTGTGATCTCAGCAGAGATTCGTCTGCGTTGACCACATGATATTATTCAATAAATTATATTCATGAAATAAGAGGAAATGCCCTTGACTGCATAAAGTCTTTCATCAGAAACAGAAGTCAATTTGTTTCGGTGAATCGTAGATCTGAAAATAGTCATTATAAATGTATTTCAGATACTAAAGTCTTGACCTTTGGAGTACCTGAAGGATCAGTATTGAGACCGCTATCATTTATTTTATATTTTAATGATGTTGGGGCTGCGGTTGCTGAGAATACGTGCATTATGTATGCAGATGATACATCACTTTTAATTTCGGACAAAGAAGACACAATTTTGAAAGAAAATTGTAACACGTTGTCAAATCAGTTGCTTTCATGGTGTGCCGCCAACTCACTTCATTTTGATTCTCGAAAAACTTTATTAGTACGGTTTCATCACAGGCAAAATATCTATTCAAATTTTTAAATTAAAATATATGCGAATGAAAACACACTTTCTTTATCCAATGAATGTAAATTTTTGCGGCTCACACTAGATAATTGTCTCAATTGGAAGAGTCATTGTAATAAACTGATACTAGAACTAAGTTGTGTTTCGTATGTGATAAGAAATCTTAAGCCGATATTTACCACTGAATAGTTAGTAAACTATTACTATTCACATATAGAATCTCGAATCAGATATGGCGTTTGCCTTTGGGGAAGCTCTTCATTAATTACAAATGAATTCATTGCTTAAAAAAAGATTATACGAATTTCAGCAGGCGTTAATCAGAAAACCTTTGCAGAAATTTGTACAAACATTTGAAAATTCTTACTTTCCCGGATATTTTCATTTTTGAAATGTGTGAATTCATACACACCAATAGGTCGAAAAATGATTGCATTGCCTCTTAACATAATGTAAATACAAGAAAGTGCAATAATTTTCACATAAATCTCGTCAAATATAATATAACCGCTAACTCACCTTCTTACTTAGGGCTAAAATTTTATATCAAACTGCCCGAATCATTGAAAACCACTGATATAATTCAGGTTTTCAAAATCACCCTCAAAAGGTTTTTATTAGATAATAATTTCAATACCATAGATAAATTTTCAAATAAATCTCATCATAATTAATATAACCGCTAACTCACCTTCTTACTTAGGGCTAAAATTTTATATCAAACTGCCCGAATCATTGAAAACCACTGATAGAATTCAGGTTTTCAAAATCACCCTCAAAAGGTTTTTATTAGATAATAATTTCAATACCATAGATAAATTTCCCAATCTTCTGTAATTTCATTTCTCTAACACAATAATTCAATAAAGCTGAGGTTGAATGAATGCTGATATGTTTTGCCCAACATTGTATGGCTATGACATGCCTTCATATTTTGTATGTTTGGTTTAATTTTACTTCAAGTATTATTTTATGTTTGTACAAAATGCTATTTGACCTATCCTACAACTTTGTAAGTTCTACAGGATCAATGAAGTGATTTGATTTAATTTGATTTGACCATATCATGGACGAGTTGAATCCGCTCATATCAGCCATAGGAATTTTGTTCAAGTTGAATGAATTATATTTAGCAGGGATACATTTCTGGGAAAGGAAACTTTCGGCTTTCTACTCCTCAATCTCCATAAGACAAATATCTCATTCCGGAATATTGATATCCTCCATTGAGGATGACAGTGTTCCATGTAAGTGGGATTGAATCTTTTTCTTATACTATATGAAGCGTAGCAATCTTGGGAATAATATCTGATTCGATTCCATAACAACTGTTTGGAGTACGAACTGAATAAGAAAATAATTTATTTTCATGAAGATAGAGAAGTAGAGAGCCAGACGTTTTTTTCTATTACTATTCTAGTTTTTTTCGTGATAGTGTGATAGAATACCGCTGTCATTTTGTAATGCAAAATGGACTTGTAATAAATTGATGGATGTAGCCGATACTACGTGGTAGGAAATCATAATGAAGAATAGAGAATTGAAACTTTCTATGTTTTTTACTACTTTTATTTGGAATTAACATTACTGCAGTTTCTTCCTATAAGTAATGTTAATTACAAATGAATGTGGTAAAAAACATAGAAAGTTTCAATTCTTCTTTCTTCACTGGACTTGAAATTTCACGGATCATGATAATTACTTGCTCTATTCGCTTGTGGTATGCTGTCTCTTGAATAATGTAAATTACGTCTGCTGAATAACCGATCTTTCACCAATAAGACCTCGCCAGTCCATATTATATTCAACAGAAAACTCTGATCACAAAAATGTTGTGTTAAAATAACTTCACCAAAGTTCACATGTTCCTGAGAATCAATTTCTTCCAAATCCTCTATAGTATAGCATTTGGACAGTTTTTATTTTTGTTTTTCCACAATTTTTTTCATTTTGAACTTGCCTTGTTTATTGCTCGAAGTCTTGCTTTTACGAAATCACAATTTTTTTAGGCCTGAAGTCATATGTTGGATATGAATCTATAATGAGATATAGGATATTTCATTCAACTTCGGACATCTACAAAACATGAAAATATTTTAGATAAATCATACTCAACGTCATCCACATACTACCAATTTCTATAATTTTCCTATTTATACTTTTCCCAATATCTTTCGATGTAATTCAAAAAGTAACTCTTTAAAACACATTGAACCGTCAATAGTCTTATATTTGTTGATTATTTTTATTTTTTCAGTCATGGTCATCTACCTGTGCCCTACTGACAAAAAGTACGCCTGTTCCTGGGAAGGTAGTGCAGAAGATATTTTACCACACTTCGAACAAGAACATGATGACCTATTACATTTTAATGATACTTTCGAAATCGATTTGGAAGTGAGTTCAGAAAACCGACTCTTTTTTCTTGATGAAGAGATATATCTTGCTCAAATCAGAGTATCCAATAACATAATGGAAATTTTCCTGAGGTATTTGGGACCTGATAGAATCGCTTGTCAATTATCGTATAATATTATTTTCAAGTTCAATTATGAATTGTGTCCTGCTAGTTGCATTACTGTTCGAAACGGTTATGTAAGTGTTGATCTCAGTAAATTGGAATATTTGGAAAGTGTGAGGACTTTACAATGTACCTTGATCATCAGTCGAATTGAAACTGGAGCAAATTCAGATGAAGACGTCTTCTTAGAAAGAAATTTCCAGGAGACTGAGCTGGACGGACGGTTACCTCATATGCCCCTTCAGAGGCAGAAAAAGGTCGAAGAAGATAATATCAGTTGTATTACAACAAATACCAGAAAACAATTAAAAACCAATACAGATGTTTCACTGAGTCGATCTAAGACCATTAACCTAGAGGATTACAAGAGAAAACATATAAAGAGATGTATGAGTACACTAAGTTTGGGCGCGATAGAAGAAAATGAGTTTTCTGTGAATTGTACTACCTGCGGTGTTATTCTGGTACCTCCGATATACTTATGTCCTTGTGGTCAGAGTTTCTGTTCTAAATGCCAAACAGGAATATGTTGCTTTTGCAACGAAAGTGTCACATTTAAGCGTAACGAGGAACTTGAAGATAATTTCACTAGATTTCTACTTCCATGTAAATATAAAACATTTGGATGCCCTGAAAAACTCATTTATACTGAACTCCGTAATCATGAGAATAACTGTATTTTTTGTGAATACAAATGTCCAATAGATGGATGTGGATTTGAAGGTCTATTCAAGCATATGCGTAAGCATTTGAAAGTGATTCATGGAAGCACAAAAATGTTGGAATCTTTCATAGTTGTATTTCAAAATATCCCTGAAGCATTTTTAGTGAATGAGGATAAGGGAATATTTTACTGTTTTGTCCGTTATTTTGATGATCGTGTATTGTGGCAGGCTCAATTTTGCGGCCCAAAAGAGAGAAGATTTTTTTGTGAGCTGAAATTCAAAGATGGTAAATTGAAACAACCATTATTGCTGAAGAGAACTGGGATTGTATATAGTGTTGAAATATATCTACAAGATTTGAAAAGGATGAAACTGAAATCCAAACATGCTATTTTAACCATAACATCCTAAATCAATTGACCATTATGTTCATAATTCATATCACTGTCGAAAATATAAATGAAAGAATGAGTAGACCATATTTTGTAAAAAATCACACCCTTCCATAGTCTTCTCTCCTCCTAAATTCAACAATGAAACAATATACCGAAGTCGGACGAAAGTTAAGAAAATAGAATCTTTTTGACGAAACATTCTCTAATGAGACATTACTTGCCGTCAAAGGGGCGCTATCAACTCATTTTTCAATTGTAGGAGGATGTATTTCAACATTTCATATGTAGGGTATTTCCATTTTCTATAGAATGACCTTCACTTATCTGAATTTGGATAACCGGTTGCGGAGTTATTGATGTTTGAATTTGGAACTACGCATTTCGTAACTTCGACACCCTACGTCGGATTCAAATGAATTCTTGACGAAATTGAAAATTTGTCAATAACATTTTTCACAATAGAGAAGTGGTAATTTCCAGGACGTAAAACAATAACATTTCATATAAACCTCGTTATCATTCATCTTATACATGAAATATGAATCGAGCAAACGTTAAAAATGTTCTCCATGAACCTCCAATAGTGAAACAAACTATTTTTGAACCCATGAAAAAATGTGATGCCTACCAATTTCTTGAAAAGAACTGCATTTTTGGATTTATCTTGATCGTAGGCCACATTTTTTGAATCCTTGGGTGAATAAAGTTTCGAAGAATTCATAAACATATATCACCAGTCAGATGACCAGATGACAATTTCCTAAGGTAATTTGCTCAAATTATGAAGAAATCTTGCTCCGAACATCCTATCTTCCTCATGGAAATTACGGCCTGCAACGGCGTTAATAAGAATTGCTTTTGTATTTTCCTCTGAAGATATCGCGCGATCCATTTTTGGAAATACTAACAGATTGAAAGTAAGCGAATTCTCAGAAATGAAAGTGAGAGCTATCAAGGTAACACAATACTGTCCATTACTAGGGTAACACGGTGTGAATTCTTATCTACATAATCGATCACAAAAAGATCCTCAATAGGATTGAAAACAGAAATGCGCCTTCATGTCAAATACTTTCGTTCAACATGAGTCAACCTGCTTATGTTTCAAGAATAGCTATACTCACAAAAATGTTCAAAATGGAATGATCAAATATAATGTAGTACACCATATGTGTTGAAGAATCTATGATTTCCAAGGTTTTTTTCGTAGTTTGATATTTACCAATTTCAAATTTGAAAAAAATGAAAAAAATCGACTTCGATTTGGTTTTTTGCGAATAACTCGAAAACTACTCATTTTGTGTAGAAAGATTACCTATAGGTACAAAAAGGAAGAAGATAAAATGTTCTACGTTTTATGTCTTCAAAGTTTTTTTCTACGGTCATCCATTAAGCCATGGGAGAACGCTAAAAGTGCCAAACTCCAAAAATCGGGATTTTCGGCGATTTGACACGGGAATGCAATACTGAAGGAATTATTCGTTGAACTCACGATGAGTTGTTTTGTAGAAAAATTCTTGATTCCTATCACAATTGTCGGTAACTGTTTAAGTAAAATTTAATACGTTTTGAAGGATTTCCTGACTTAAAGTTCACTTACCGTTTACAGGTATAAGTTGAAACAAGGTATTGAAACCCTTTTCTATGCAACAATCTGCTACATTCTGGAAGAAGTCGTCGGATGGTGTGAATTGTGTTGTATCGTACACTTGCGACCGTATATCCTCTCGTATGACTTCAGCAGCTGCTTTCACCACGCGTAGTCTTACTTCTTGAGGATATGAGCTTCTACTGTCATACCATGTACCGGTGAGAATTTTGTGACCCGTGTTTTAAAACAGACAGTCGTGTGTTGAAGGATCTCTTAACAATTTTCTGCCTCTCAGCAAAATTATTGATAAGTAATGTAAGAGATCTACAAATATTTTTTTATTGTTTTCCATATTTTTGATTTGTTGGAGGTTTAGTATCTCCATAAAATTTCGCAAAATTTTACATTTATTGTCAATATCAACAATATTGATCAACAAAACACTAAAATTGCCTATTTCAATATAATGTTTGTTATATAGGGAATTGAACAAAAGTATATTTTTCAATAAGGTTCCACAATCACTCATGTTCATAGAAGGTGACATATAAACAGTAAATATTTGTGCAACGTATGAACTGAACACTATAAAACTTTCCAAAAAATTTTTGTGGAAAACGAAACTATTAGGCGATAAATATTAGTCATATTATTTTTTGCAATATGATCCTGATTTCGAAACTCACCAGCTCCCTAGTAAGTACTGTATAAATTGTACTGTGAATTAATGTAGAGTATCAGTCCTACTGGGGTAACTACTATGTAGTGAAACGTGTATTGGAAACAAAATCTATCCATATTCGAAAACTTCTCATATCAACATACAAATGATATCCATATTAATACCCCTGATGGACATTCTTCACATTGAATTTAATATATCTCAGTGAACCTGTTGTGAATGTAGTAAAAATGCCATATAAATTGTTGTCACTTAATCATTCTTTATTCAACTCAAAAACAATATATTCCCTTGGCGAATGTCGGAGGACCAGACTTCCATTGTATGAAAAAATATTGAGGATTTCAAAATCTTTGACTATCTATGTAGATTCTTGATGGTGATGGTGATGGTATTTCAGATACTGTCTCGTTTTCGGTATATGGATGTTTCTCAGTTATTGTCACCGTTGTGATTGTTATGGAACGTCTCTCGCTATTGAGGTGCTGCAAAAAAGTGTTCAGTTCCATGTCGTCAGCATATTTCTATCACACTAGAGGCTTCTTGTGGAATTTTCAAATAGCCTGCGGTTCATAATATATATAGCCTACGTATACATATAGTCCATAGTAGATGAAATTATTGATTATAGCTAACATATACCGCATGTATGTATTTGTGAGCCGAAATGTATGAAAGTGATGATCCCAGAAGCAATCCCTCATATTTCATAAGGAATACGTCCCTCAGCTCTGAATATCAATTGAAGATACCGCATCCTAATAATTTCATGATTTTTCAACCTCGTTCTTGTTTCTACGTTGGAACTGGTTATTTCCGTTCTGTAACTTCGATTGTCTCTACTAACTTGACTAAGTACCTTGTACTCTTCACAAAAATCAGGTTCCTCCTCGTAGCGGTTAGATGATAGAAAGTATAAGAAATCTGAACAAGTGGCAAACATGGTTAAATTTCTGTAACTCATCATCTGTCTGAGTGAAACATCCTTTTTGTGAATATTTGGTTGTCCATACAGGTGGAGAACTTTCATTTTTCGGAATGGTTTCGAAATGTTACACTTTTTTTTATTTTTCTCAAACAATTTATTTGAGTCTTGTGAGATCTTTATATATTGCCTGTTTTAAAAAAGTTTTCAAACTTCTGCTAGTACTGAAATTTTCATCCCATCATCTGCCAGGTAAATTTTAATGGTTTTGTGATTTGGTACGTCGTTATAATTTATTGTTAATTAATAATTATCGATATCATGAGCATTCAGCACGCCAAAAAAAAGGCGTACACAAAAAAGTAGCACACAACAATTTTTACTTTGTAAGATAACAAAGCGGTGTTTTCATATATCAGAATGGGATGATAATGGTTGATATAATTCTTTCCATCTTCCAAATTGTATCCTAAATTACTGCAGATTCACAGAAATGAAATTTTCAGGAATATTGATTCATTTCACTTCTTGAACATTATTGTTCAGAATAACACCCGTTATTATATTTTAAACCTATTACATTTACAAAAACGTCTTTTATTATGTTTCGACTCTACTATTTGAGGTTTGTTACGATAGTACAGAAAGAGCCTGTGTTGTCCAGCAATCATAGTTGTTATGCTTTTTGTATTCGTAAGATATGAGTTTGATTTCTGTATCTTATAGGTACTTCAGTAAGAAAGCTCCGCCATCTGTTAGTAGGAGGACACTTCTCGAAATAATAACTCATATAGTTTTCGCCAAAGCAAGTCATATCTTTGTATAGGGTTAGTCTATATACAAAGGTCATTCAACCCTCAGAATGAAGCGATTACAGGCAAAATAATAATACAATATTACTGCGAAGAACACATGATTGCAGATGCATAGAAATCCTGTTGTTTTACCTATTCGCTTTTGTTTTGTCAAAAACTCTCGATACGAGAAATGAGTTCACCCCAATGATGTACACATGTTGTTGGATCTGTCTGTCTGTTTTTAAAGTCTGTTTTTCTGTTAATCAGCTGTCGCCCCCATACGAACGAAAACTCTCAGAAGTTGAGAAACTTGTGCGAACTAAGAGCCAACGAGGTCTTACCTTTTAACGTGTGAATCCTAACACGGTTGCAGAATTATCCCAGCTTCAACCAGATAAATTATCTCGAGAAAAATATCTGGTCGGGACAGGAATCGAACCCACGGCCTTCCGATCTTGAGTCGAGCGCACTACCAACGCGGCCAATTCCACAGTAAGATGGTAGAAGAATGGAAATCTGTGGAGCATATTCTTCAAGATTTTTCAGTAATGGACTATGAATTCATTCCTAAATATAAACAATATTGAAAGTTGAAGTATAGAATTGGCATTCTATGAAATTTGTTGGATTTATTTATGATTTTTTCATCAACAGTGCTGTAAGCCCAGAGTTTTCGACATCTTATTCTGATTAGAAATCATAAAAAGTCAGTGTCAAAAGAATTGAATAATGAAAATTCCAACTGAACGGCTTAATAGAAAACATCCACGAAGTTATCTGTATGGAATTCCAAATATCAAATGCTTCGTTAAATAAGAATATAAATAGAAATAATAAATTTAAAGGTCGAACCGGAATATTCAAATATCTAGAATTGAACAAACAAACCACTTCATGAATTCAGAGTGATTTTATCTGTGAGAAACAAATGAAAAAAATGAATTGAAATAAATTATGAGCGGATTTTGACAAAATTGCCAATTCTTTCTGAAATACCTTTATAACGTATTCAACCGATAATGAATGTTGTTATTATTAGTGTATTTGAATTCACCAGGAGTTTGTGTTACGTATTTCCACAAAAGATAT